AGGAGTGAGAGTGATATTATCAGCAGAGAACCTATCAATGATGGAGAAGTTATTATCCATCTCTATCTTTTGAGAGAACGTTTGTGATATTATCATTATCAATTAAACGACGTATAGTATCTCCATCACATTTTTGGAAAACTGTTTCATCTCTATCATTTTATATTATCATGCATACCGAAAAACCTGGCATAGTGGGAAAAATGGTTTGTATCAGATAAGAATCTGCCAAACTTGTACAACAAACTATACCAAACATATGGATATTTCCGGAATCGTGGTGACGTATAGAGACCGGAAATCGATGTCCGACGCCATTTTGAAATCCAAGATGGCGGCTTCTGGTTATAATAAAATCTGGGAAACATTATCAAATACCTTTCAATATGGGTATTTTTGGAATCATTGTGACGTATAGAGACCGGAAATCGATGTCTGACGCCATTTTGAAATCCAAGATGGCGGCTTCTGGTTATAATAAAATCTGGGAAACATTATCAAATACCCTTCAATATGGGTATTTTCAGAATCTTGGTTACGTCTCGAATCTGGAAATCGATGTCCGACGCCATTTTGAAATCCAAGATGGCGGCTTCTGGTTATAATAAAATATGGGAAACATTATCAAATACCCTTCAATATGGGTATTTTTGGGATCATGGTGACGTATAGAGACCGGAAATCGATGTTCGACGCCATTTTGAAATCCAAGATGGCGGCTTCTGGTTATAATAAAATCTGGGAAACATTATCAAATACCCTTCAATATGGGTATTTTTGGAATCATGGTGACGTATAGAGACCGGAAATCGATGTCCGACGCCATTTTGAAATCCAAGATGGTGGCTGCTGGGTATCCTAAAATCTGGGAAACATTATCAAATACCCTTCAATATGGGTATTTTCGGAATCGTGGTGACGTATAGAGACCGGAAATCGATGTCCGACGCCATTTTAAAATCCAAGATTGCAGCTTCTGGTTATAATAAAATCTGGGAAACATTATCAAATTCCCTTCAATATGGGTATTTTTGGAATCGTTGTGACGTATAGAGACCGGAAATCGATGTCCGACGCCATTTTGAAATCCAAGATGGTGGCTTCTGGTTATCCTAAAATCTGGGAAACATTATCAAATACCCTTCAATATGGGTATTTTTGGAATCGTGGTGACGTATAGAGACCGGAAATCAATGTCCGACGCCATTCTGAAATTCAAGATGGCGGCTCTCCTCCCTCAACTACTACGTTATTTATGAAAGTTCTCACTGAGCAATACTGAAAATCAGCAGCCACACAAAACCCGGTTGGACAACTTCGGTATTGATCATCAATATTTCGCGATCAGAACATTTTCGCCTGAAATCCCTCCATTTAGTTATCGGGTCATCTTTAATCTATTGTTTGAATTAAAAAAAAAATCTTAATATAGTTTTTTTTTAAATTTCGTGCGTTTTGTGAATGCACATTCATTATTTTTCATAAGAAAACGGGAACGGGGTGTTTCTGTGGTGATAAGAAACACAGATTACAGTTTTCTTTTCCAAGCACTGAAACTATCAGACGGTACCTCTATTTATGCTTTTAGATTAGCTATGAAAGTCCCTCCTACTTGGAAAACTATGCTATAGAACGGTTTATACAACCCCAGTTTTTTTTGCTGATGGGGGCGAGGCATAGCCAGCCGTTCGATTGCATAATTCTTCAAGTAGGAGGAACTTGCAATGCTTATCTCTTAGCATAAATAGAAGTACCGTCGAGTTTTTTCAGTTCTAGGTTCTGAAATTCGAAAGTGAGCTTTCAAAAGGGCCTACTTGTAATACTTTGACCATATGTTTTAGTATTACTTCTACGTGAAGTCAACGATTTACATAGTTGAAGATGCTAATTTCAAATAACAGACTGTAGTGGTAATGTTTATACAATAGATGGAGTAGATGAAAGCATAGAGTTGATAGTTCCGTTAGAGTACGGCAGTGTGAAGATTGCATATAGATATTAGAATAGCGAGCTAGGACAATTTTTAAGGAAGGTACAAATCGGTTTTTTCATCTCTCTTTACCAAACTCCCCCTTTGGAGAGGGATGGTGAGGGGTGTATATATATATATATATATATATATATATATATATATATATATATATATATATATATATATATATATAAGTGTTTTTGCATTGTTCCTGCCTAGGCAATTCAGTATTTTAAACAGGTTTTTTAAACCTGCATGCAGGCTTGTAATTGCTCATTACAGCTAAAATGCTATTTTTCGTACTTATGAAACAATGAGATACTATTATGATAATTTTTATTTGTAAGATGCAAGAAGAGGTGGTAGAGTTTGTATATGACATATAAAATTTGTTAATTTTGCTTTCAGAAGGTCACAACTAGCGATTTTATGATCGCTGATTGCTCGCTCATCGTTACAGCTAATCGCTAGTTGTGACCTTCTGAAAGCAAAATTAACAAATTTTATATGTCATATACAAACTCTACCACCTCTTCTTGCATCTTACAAATAAAAATTATCATGATAGCTCCGTAGATGTAGGCGCGTTGATTCCGACAGCCGCGAAATGTTAAACATGCATCAATACCACATAAGGAAAGATCGATTTTTCGTATGGTTTAGTTCATAAATTAACATTGACTGCTGTTTAAAAATGTAAGTACTTGAACACTAAGAAATAAGTTAACTCAAATGTTTTAACCGCATATATAAGAGATTTCGCGTATTGAGAGAATAATATAGTAATCGAGTACAACAAACTCAGGGGAATACAATACCTCCAAAAGTTTAAAAGCTATTAATTGTCACATACCTCTACTTTTACTTATTTCCTAAACTATTCCTCTCCTTGTTAATCTGCTTAATGCTATTGGTCTGCCTGCGTTTTCTTTTTAAAGTTCTACTTAATGTCATTAGACTTTCTGAAGTTTCTTATTTAAATTCATTTGATGATTATGATATCTCATTAGTCTAATTTAATAAATTATTGAAAGCTCCAATTCACCTAATCAATCACAACCCATGCTTTATTAAGTACCTGCACTTGTGCTTGTAATCTAAAATTAAACGTGTTTCAAGTACTTTTGATTACAACGGCGCCGGTGGTGTAGTAGTAAGCGTGATTACCTCTCACCCCAGCAGGCCTGGGTTCAATCCCAGTCGGCGCCGCCGGGATGTTCTGAGGCATAACATCTCTGATCACGCCTTCCTTCGGATGGGAAGTAAAGCCGTTGGTCCCCGGTTCATGAGTTGATGGGTCGATAGGTAGGGTCCAGGTGTGGGAGCTGCCTTCCTGGCACGTCGGTAGCATTGGTGCTCAGCACGGAAAGCAAAATCGACGGAAAAAACAAACCAAAGGAAAAAAAAAAGTACTCTTGATTTAAGCCTATACCTATTTATTATATCTTAGTTCGACCCAGGTAACACCTTCATGTGACTAAAATGCTTCATTTTGAAGTTAGTTTCCTAGCTGATTTTTAAATTATATAGGGTATATGCTCCAACTATGCTTACACGCTTCCACTATGTCGCACCACAAAAATACGTATGGGTATGTCACAATAGAAGCACGCCACAGTTGAAATCTCGAGCCATAGTTCAAACACTTATCCCAAATCAAAATGAAGCACATGTAAGATTAGTTACAATACCATGTACAAAAATGATGTTTAACTTTGTTTCCTGAGTAATACTTTAATGAAAATAACAATGAAGCTTGTCACGCAAATAGAAGGAGCACCGTTGGGCACTTTCTGAAATATTTCAATAGTATAATTTCCTTGCAAACCCAAATAAATCTATCTGCGTAAAAATAAATAAAATAAGAGTGATTTGCCGCAAAACCCGCCAGTATCACACCCAACGTCAGTGCCTATACGGAAGTGACTACGACGCGGCTCTCAATTAAAGGAGTAACAAGTGTGATACTATCACTGCTAGACTAGATCTTTGGTTCTCTCATGCAGTGGTTTATCAGAGAGGGGAAGCTTAGTAATACCCATTGCTTGCCCATGACGCCATTCTATCGCGGCATGAGCCAACAACGCCGACCATAAACCTACCGTCTCCAACACTCCACTATAAAGCATGAAATTAAGCCCGCCCACCAACAGCAAGGTGCAAAACCTAGTCAAGGGGAGGGAGAAACTCCCAAAGTTTCAAAAACTTTTTATTTTATTTTTTTTATTGGGTATCAAGCGGAGTTGCGTGACAGCTTAGTTTTTAAGACTTGACCCATTAGCTCCATTAACTCGCTGAACTGCAGTTTCGCGCGGTGTTCAGAACTCGCTCAGTTTCCTTTGATTCGTTAATAAGTTTATTCTATTTTGTCAAGTGCATTTTCAACTTTTCGCGACTGTCGGATTTAACGTGGTCTACGGAGCTTACGGGATCCACAATTCAATTGAATTACTACGCGGAAGTATCTTTTGCCTCGTTAACACGTACTCATGTCACAGCATTTTTTCCAAAACTATATTTAAACAATACAAACAGAATCCAGTGTTCAAACTGCCAACATAGGCTAGTCCTTCTGTAGTATTGTCGAAAGATAGAAGTAAAATTTACTTACATGGGTCATGTTTTGAAAACTGAACTGTCACGCAGTTCCAGCTTGATACAATAAAAAAACAAAATTCAGATGCTCTGTCTTTGACATATCGAATTATAGAATCAAAATAACACATCGACCAAAGAAGGCATTGTGCCGTATGAATAAAAAGAGTTTACATAACTTTCCCGTGCTTTTCTTACGGGAAAATAAAGTAAACGCTTTTATTCATACGAACTATTGGCTGATAGTATTCTCCATGGAAAAATGAAGGGACAGCTGAATGCTTCAAGTTAAAGAATATCAAGTGTAAAATTGCCGGAGACGAACCAGCGTTCGGCTGAAAGTCTCCTTACTAAAGATAACTAACTAACTAAGTTGTAAAGAGTTGACTGTATAAGGTTTTAATTTAATATGTTTTATCTTATTTCGTTCTAGTATGATAGCAAATCTACTGCAATGCGACGTAATGCTTCTTATTATAAATACAGTACTAAGAAGGGCTCTTGATCTTAAAGCTATTACTTTTTCGGAAAGTCATGTTCAGAAGGTAATTGTTTTGGTATATCAAGTAAAATTACTTGGTAATTTTATTAATTATATTATATAGACGCTACATTTAGTTGGTTATGCTATCCAAGAAGAGGAATCGGGACACTATCCTTTTCTGAAATTTATCGAGCGATCCAACAAGATGAATCTTCTTCCAATGTTAGAGGAATTGGTGAATAATGCCAGAGTATGAAGATGACTATTTTTCTGTGTTTAATATTTAGTGATATCATTTTATTTTAGGTTGAATCGCAACGAGATCTTCTGTTATGGGTCATACAGAAATACAAAGATGTAATGCTGAAGTTTCAAGATAAAAAAATGGACGAAGACCTTTCAACCAACGACCCGCTTCATGCATCTTCGGTGACACAGATAGAAGCAGAACGATTGGAAAAGGAAGAAAGGGCTAAAATGGCAGCCAAAAGACGTGCTCAAATACTGGCACAGATGCAGAACGCCCAGAAAAATTTTATGACATCAAATGCTGAACTCTTTGAAAATAATATCGATGACGATAAGGCTGCAGGATGTAGCAGCATGGATTGGCAAGCATTGACTGAGAAAAACGGAGAACAAGCATGTTTTGGCATAAGTAGGAAAACTCAACGTTTTGAAGATGCACGGTATCGGTGTATTCTTTGTTCGGAAGAATCATCGGTTACCAAAAATGATGAGTGCATGGTCTATGCTGCATTTGTACAGAAATCAAGTGTTCTTTCTCGGTATCAACAAACAGATGATCATGGACAGCTCAAGTATTTGGAAACAAGCATCCATCCATCGCCACATGTGAGCACGTGTGGACATGTTATGCATGCTTCGTGCTTTGAAAAATACTTCAGCAATGAAATGATCAAAGAAAACCGTCGTCCGTACCGTAACCGAACACCGGTACTTTTCGATATAGATAAACGAGAATTCCTGTGCCCACTTTGTCGATTCCTTAGCAATGCTTTGCTGCCTTTGCTGCCGGCACTCGGAACCTTCAATGAAAGTAATAGTTCAATCAATGCTTTACCCGATGCAATAAATTTCCAAAATTGGAATATGATGATGGAGGAATTTTCTACCGCACTCAGGAGCGCCAACAACAATCAAATGGAAGCGCAACAAGAATCTGACGAGTCCGAAGAACAAGCTAACCTGACTCGACAGGTATATGAAGAAATGATTCTACCGAAACTGTCTGCAACTTTCGGTATTAATGTAAATAACGATGACTACAATACAAAGTCTCTAGTGAGTGAATCAATTGAAGAATACATAAACAAGTTTTGTACTGCTGTACATGATGTTGCTCCATTCCCGTCAACATCCAGAAATTTCGAGGAGTATCTTGTTACATGGTTATCGTGTGCGTACACTATAGAATCTTTGGAAATGTTACTTCGCGCTACAGATAAGCAGCTGAATGGAGAACTTTCAATACGGTAAGTATTCCTATGATGTAATTAATTTTTAAATTATTTTTTACAAGGCAGTCACAATTTAGGGGAAAGTGGGCACGTGTGGACACACGTTTGTTCACCATAAGAAAATCTTCACCAGTGTTGAAAAAAAAATAAAAAAAAAATCAAATCTCACCACAGCCCAAGATCACGCTTGATTTTCGAAGACAAAAATCAAAAAGATCACAATTGCGATTGATATTGCAAGCTGTGATGCCACAGCTCGGAATATCAAGCTTACAAAACTCACCAGTTGTAAATCTCTCCAAACTGTGGTGAGATTGAGTTTCGTGATGTTTGCTTTACAGCCGAACGCAACCGCAACGCAACTTCCACAACGGCTAGCAGCAGTCGCTTCGTGTCTGACAGACATCGGTGAAGAGAAAAAAGAGATTGCATTATTATACCTTCTCTTTCTAAGAAAACGAGTTGGAACAGAATTATTTTTGCGTCGATTCAACTCTCAAGTGAACCCTACACGATTGCTTTTATTGACAATAATCGTATTGTCAATACATGCTATATTGACGTCAATATATCGAGATTGACAATATTTCTGAATTCACATCATCAATATTATAGTCAATAATTCCCCTTCGCGTCAATATATTGATGCGTGTGGGGTTTGCTTCAGTTTCAATCGAGGCTTCAACTTTACACGTTGTGAATAGTCTCGTAATATCAAAAGTGGACCCTACACGATTGCTTTTATTGACAATAATCGTATTGTCAATACATTCAATATTGACGTCAATACATCGGTATTGACAATATTTCTGTATTCACATCATCAATATTATTATCAATAATTCCCCTTCGCGTCAATATATTGATACGTGTGGGGGTTCGCTTTTAGGAGCTTGTAATATCAATATCAAGCATTAGAGCGTATGAGAGCGGAAAATATCAATTTTCTAATGATCATGTCATCACTGATCTTCACTAATGATACCAAATTCAGCGGAAAATTCGAATGAGTTCTAACCAAATGATTGTGTGACATTTCCCCGAAAGCCGATGCCCAGAATGCACCATTCTCCTAAAAAATCCCCAGATTGAACCATTCTCCAGAAAAACAAAATAGGATTAAAATTTGTTTCCGTTTATATTGATTTTTGCATAATATTTTTCAAAACTAAGATGCATAAATGACGTAGCTAAGTGACCATGTAGCAGCTATTTTCCCATTTTTCACTTAGGATCTCTTGATGTTGATGTAATTGATGTTAAACAATGAGAAACAGTAGCAGGCATATCGTTTCGTTATTCTTAAGTCAATGCATTGATAGTATTGGAATAACGCGGCTCGTGTAGATGCTTTAAAAAAGTTTCTGCGTTTTTGGTAAAAATTCATAACGTGGTATTTATCAAAGCATTAACTCGAAGCCTTAAGTTTCGGGGTTTTATCTTGAAGAAGGTTGCTCAATTTGCTGTCCTCTTCAAAAAAAAGACAGACAAGAATGGATCGCTCTTTTGTGACTTTTTCATTACTTTTGATGTAGAACTACGTCTTTGTCGACTATACTGGGGTGCAAATTAAACAATATGTATGGTGAAATAGTGTTAGGTTTTGAACACCTATGCCTATGCTCATTACCGCTTCGGACGGCGTGGCACTGGGTCCTGCAGCAAACAGGAGCCAGTGGTTAATGTGGTGTTTACATCTATGTGGATTAGCTAGCGCTAGTGTACCAGCACTGTGCAAAAAAGTAGCCAGCATAATGTAAGCAGGGCATCTGCGTCTACCAGCATGTGCTAGTTGGCTACTATACTAGCGTTAGCAAATCAGCACAGATGCAAACACTCCAGGTGGATCACTCGCGATGGGGTCGAAGGAGACTATAGTTGAACAGACGGAAATTATTTACACAAAATTTTTCATCTGAGCTACCGTTTTTATGACTGTTACTTTTACTTCATAATTGCCCTGTAGTTTTCAATGTGCCTGAGCTGAGGAGAATTGGGCGGTTGAAGGTTTTCGGAACAAACTGGACTCCGTTGTCATTGTACCATTGTTGTATTCCCGGCTGTAGTGACAACTCGCAAGATCCGGTCAAATTGACACCGTACCATCACGTGACTGGATGCAGGGTTTCGCTTCTGGAGACATTCGGTTTTGTAAACCTCCGAACATTTTGTCAATGACGAAGCCGCAGCTGCAAATTCCCAGCTAATTTCAATCTGCCAGGGACCTCCTCGAGCCTTCGCCTTGTAAAATTTTGGTCCTGAAAGCTGTCCGAAGTCAGCCTTTAAATAGGTTTCATCATCCATAAGTATGCACCCACCGGTCAGCGGGTTGTCATATAGCTTTCGAGCACGGGTTCTAGCTATGGTATTCTGATTGAGTGATCGATTTGGTTGGTTACTATGCCTGCAAGCCTTCGTGGTAGCGAATTCGCTGCACTGTACCACGGGCGGCATAATTTGTTTTACTCAAATCACGTCCGGTCATACTTGGGTTGCTTCTGATGGACCTCACGACCTTTCCATGGAGCTGACGGTTGGCAGTTCCACTCCGGCGTTTACTTTGAGACTTCCGATTCGTCGTCAGGGGTTTCCTGTGCGTTTTGAGCACGCGTCATACGGTATTTCTAGGAAAATTCATCACTTTCCAGAATTTTCCAGGTGACTGCGCACGATTTTTTTTTCTACGCTCCTATTGTTATTGCACACTGGACCAGATATGCAATCTAGCGGAAGAAAATTAATAAATCTGAAACGAAGCTTTTCCGCGACTTGGTGTCTTGGGTAAAGTTTCTTATCATAATAAGGACCATCTATTGACATAAACAAATAGTTCAAAACTCTTCCGCAAAGATGGCGCCACAATCTAACTTCTTTCTCTGACGTTTTGGAGACTTGATGGCTTGGGAAAAGTTGTTTGACTTGACAAAATGAATAACTCTTTTCAAGACGTAAAATTTCCACAGCCTACTGTTTTCGAGTTATATGGAGTTAAAGAAAAAAAATGTCAAAAATATGGTTTTTTCTTTCTGTTTCGGTTTTTTGCTGACAATCATATAATGTTATATTTTTCTCTTATGCAAATGCATTAAATAAATAACTTTTGTTAATAAACATGCTGGTTTAAGTTTCAAACTTAAAAAAATATTGTTAAAAAACCGATAAAAACAACAATTTTTGAACTTTAATATCTCCCAAAGCGCAAAAATCGCAACCTGACATTTTCAGCAAAAATTAAGCAATACTCGATAAACAAAATATCAAAATTTAAGAGAGGTATATTTTGGTGTTTTTGAGATTTCAGCATTTTAGTGGAGCATTTCTATAACTTTTTTAATACATTGAAATGGTGTTTTGAAGAATTGACGACTTAGGCAAAGTTGTTTATCTTGATAAAATAAACAACTCTTCTAAAGAAGTTAAAACTCCACGGCCTACTGTTCTCGAGTTGTTGTGAAACGTAAGTACTTTACTTTTCACTAGATTCCGTGCAATTTATGCCGAAAATATAATTAGTTTTCATCTACCGCAGAAATTTCATTTTAGCACGGTTTGCTTTTGAGTCAATAACCTCGTTCACTTATTTTTTTTTAAACATTTTCTGTACGAACGCAAGATGAAAATGCCTCTTCAAAAATGTATGGTTAAAAGGGATGAATATTTTGGTTTGGTGAAAGAAAGAAACAGTCAATTAATCAATAAAAATTACAATGTTTATGATTTATTCTGAAAATAAAGTACAGAAGACTTGGTAAAAATTATACTGACCGCTATGGTAAACTTTACCGATCTTTCAGTAAAATTTACAGTCCAGGTCAGTAAATGTTGACGGCCCACAAGCGAAGAAAATTTAAAAAATATTACCGAATTGATTACCGAATATTCAGTTGTTCCATATTCGGTAAAAAATTACAGTACACTGTAAAAAATACTTAGTGTGTACTTAGTGAGCCATGATTTAGTAATGAAAAAGCCCCAAAAGAGCGATCCATCACTAAATACAGATATATGTTTGCCTTTCTTTGAAACATGAGCAGTTCTGTTTAGTCAAATTAAAGCAATTATTTTAATAATTGCAGATTAACTATGCATTACATACATAACATGACTTAGGATGAAAGGAAATATTCAATTCTAATTTCGGCATTAAAATTAATGGCAGTCATTAATTCCTAATTTCATTTCTCTTTCTTCAACAAATAAAAAAGAATAGTTCAAAAGAAAGAGAATAACCATTGAAGGTCATTTGCCGGCTCTATGATTTTTGCCTTAGTCACTAATCCTACGCCGTTACCCTGAACGATACACTGCCCTAAAGAAAGGTTGTCGATTTTACAAATGATCTTTACTTGGTATTTGATATTAACTGAAAAAAACCCCTGCTAAATGCGTGTCGATGCATGTTTACTGGGCTGGTTCTCGGCAATGCGACGATAAATCGTTGTGATTCGGCCACCATTCAAAAGGTATATCATATATGGCTATCTACTTTCATTTGGAATTTGTAGAAATCCGATTGAACCTGTAATTAGCCAACCGGAATGGGAAAACCCGAAAAAGTCCCGAGCAAAATACGTGTCGATTCATGTTGACATGACTGGTTCTCGACAATTTTGTAACCAAATTTTAAGATTGCGCCACTATTTGAAAGATATGACTATCTACTTTGGAACGGAACCGATTGGACCTGTGGTTGGTCAGTCGGAAATGGTAAAGCCGTGAGCGGTCGCTCTGTGGAAATTCAGATTCACCGGGAAATTGGTCAATTCCCAAAAATAGACTTGGAGATCCGCGATTTTCTCTAAATTACGTACAACCATGAGCATAGAGGAAATATGCAATCACCTTGAGATCCTGAATTTTTTTCCTAAATTTCATACAATCATAAGCATAGAGAAAATATGCAAGCACCATACCCGAGCAAAGCTGAAGATCAAATTGAAATCAAAATTTGCTGTTATGATGTAACTTATTTTGAATACTCCAGTTGATCTCATTTTGGTTGACTTAACGGTTAA